ATGTTAACCCCTCGGCGATATATTCAACCCTCGGAGGTGGTGTTCTCTGTGCAAAAGCATCAATGTTGCTGCAGGTTTAGTTTTCACCCTTAAGTTCAGGACTTTCCATCATTCTACGGGGATGTATTCAACAATAAGTTCTTTCTTGTTCGGTTAATATTATTAACCGACTCACTGTTTTTTGCTGTGTAGAATGTACCACCTGCTATATTGGTTCGCTTTTTGAGGGAGCATCGTTCAGAATGGGCTGATTGTGGTGTAGATGCTTATTCTGCTGCATCATTGAGAACTGGCTCATATGCGGTTCCTGGTGTTAGGCCTAATAGCGGGTTCTTGGGCAGTCAGGTGATACTTCCTCTTGCACATACTGCAGAAAATGAAGAGGTAGATCACCTTTTAGTTCTAAAAGCAATATCTTGCACTTCTCGTTGTTGTTTTCTTCTGATGTAACACACTGATTTCCTTAACTGTAGTTCTTGGAGGTGATTAGGCTTGAGGGTAATGGTTTTAACCAAGATGATGTCATTTTGTCAAGGGATATGTACTTGCTGCAGGTTTGTCTTGTGGAATTTGCCTTGTCTCTGTCTACGGATTCAGTGAGTTCTTTTTTTGGGTAAATGATTTTGTCCTTAAATACATGATTGCAGCTTTGCAGTGGAGTGGAAGAAAATGCTGTTGGTGCCTGTGCTCAGCTGGTTTTTGCACCCATTGATGAATCTTTTGATGATAATCTTCCGTTGCTACCATCAGGTTTTCGTGTCATACCGCTGGACCCTAAAACAGTTGGGTATCTTCACACAAGTGTCTTCTAGAAATTTACTGCAGATTGATTCTAATGACCTCATTTCTTGGAAAAACTAATTCTTTTTCTTTGCTTTATGACTATTTTCTGGCTAGATATGAATCAGGCATTTACATCATAGAAAAGCTAATCTTATCCTAAATGTTTTTGCTTTTTCTTTGCTTCTTGACTATTCTCTCTAGCCTTTTTCTTTGATTTTTGACTGTTCTCTCGCTGGAGATGAAACACATGTTAGACATGCTAGAATTACCTAGAAAAGCTGTATCATTTTCTGCATGAATCTAGTTTTGGATTGTACTTACTACTGCTGATAGATGTTACTAATTCTGGATAGAATTTTGTTTAATTAATCAAATCAAAACTTTGACCAGTTACCCCACGACTTCCTCCAATGTTTACCTTCATCTTGTTCAACAATGTTACAGGATTCTCCGGCCACTACACGAACACTTGATTTGGCATCCACACTAGAAGTTGGATCTGGTGCCACATCACGCTCTGTTAATGAGACTGCTTCAACTACATATAACCTGCGATCAGTCCTCACAATAGCCTTCCAGTTCACCTATGAGAATCACCTCCGAGATAGTGTGGCAGCAATGGCCCGGCAATATGTTAGAAGTGTGGTCACCTCAGTGCAGAGAGTTGCGATGGCAATTGCACCTTCTCGTCCCGGTTGTCAGATTGGCGTTAAGCACCCACCTGGTTCTCCAGAAGCTCACACTCTGGCACGATGGATTTCTCAGAGCTACAGGTGATCCAATTGTGTACTTGATGTGGTTCTATATTTTACTACTATAACATCTTATGGTCCATTAATTTAAAAGTTATAGTATAGTAGGGTATCATGAGTTGCACTCTACTTGCACACTTTGATCACATAAATGCAACAATCAAAATTGATTTGAAAATTTGTCCATCTGCAACATCATCTATAGTTCTTGAGTTAAATTTCTTTGTTATCTGTCTAATGGATTGGCTTCAATCACTTCAGGGTTCATACAGGAGCTGAGCTCTTTCAGGTGGACTCGCAAGCAAATGATTCATCGCTGAAATTGCTTTGGCACCATTCGGATGCGATCATGTGTTGTTCTTTGAAGGCAAGTCACTGTGTGCACATTACTTTTCTGTCATATGCCTTATTAGCACATCTTAGATCTGGAGTCAACTTTCATGTATTTTTAACTTTTCATATTAGTTTGTAGCATTTGTGGGAAATTTACTCGGTTTGCAATGCTATTATCGGCGATCAATTGGCATAGAATTTTGGTGAATATTAACCATGATCAAAATGTAATGTTTCTTGGCAGGTTGCCCCTGTCTTCACCTTTTCCAATCAAGCTGGTCTGGATATGCTGGAAACCACCCTGATAGCTCTTCAGGACATTACACTGGAAAAGATTCTTGATGACAATGGTCGGAAGGTGCTTTGCTCGGAGTTCCCCAAGATCATGCAGCAGGTAAGCAAATGACCGATGCTCGTATCTTCTTCCTTTCACAATCTGTGTCGCATTATGTAAACCTCCTGAAACCGACACATCTTTCTGCATCACGATAGGGCTTTGCTCATCTTCCTGCTGGTATCTGCTTGTCAAGCATGGGGAGGCCGGCGTCTTATGAACAGGCTGTGGCATGGAAAGTCCTTGATGAGGATGATTCACCCCATTGTCTGGCTTTCATGTTTGTGAACTGGTCTTTTGTTTGAATGCCTAGAGCAGGTCTAGTCCTCTAAACTATCTAGTAGTGGATGGAACTTGAGAACTCATCCCTTTTGCTTGAAGCCATGGTTTCTGAAAAGCTACTGCCAAACTTTTAAGCTCTACCAAGATACTATATGGCGGAAAATGACTGTTCTGTAATGTGATCCAATGGGCGTACTCTGTTTATATATGTTTCATCTTCTCTCTTATCAGTGAGTGGTGATGGCCTGCTTGTTCTTGTTCCCAGGATTGAAGTTTAGTGATAAGAGAGGTTTGAATGCTATTCATGAATACATTTGAATCGAAGCTGTCCTGTGATCCAGAAAAGGCTCCTCTTTGACGTTGTTTCTGGGAGCAGCAGCAGCGGCGGCAGCTTCATGCAGGTAAAAGCAGTGCGGTAAACGACACTAACACGGGAAGGGGAACGAGCGGTCTTTTCACCGGCTCAAGCGCTGCGGAGCCGTCCCATCAGCCGCCATTAACGGCCGCGATTTGCCCTGCAACGTTATGCTCCTCCGTGCGCCGTGCGATGATGTCAGGGATGTTGGCCGGCCTGTCGTCGAACCCTCGTCGCCTTCGCTGCCCGACAAGATAAGGCCAGCGTCTGTGGTACGAAACTCTCAAAAAGGATTCGCCGGCCGCGTGTGCTGCAATTTTCGTGGTTGACGCGAATCGAACATGTGATCCGACAGCGAGCGCCGGTTGGTTCACTGTCGCTGGCTACCCGTTGCGTTACCCCGCCCTGTCATTTGACGAGCTTCCTGTGGGACCCGCCCGATTTGCAGTGGGTAAACCAGTCGATGATGGGAACAATCCTGTCCTGGATATCCTGATGCCATGTGTTAACCGGTGAGCGGCTAGGATTTGCTTCTGGGATCGCATGGTGTAGCGGTCCAAACATAGGATCCGAGACCGAGCGTCGCTGTCATCGCCCTCTGGTTGTCTACCCTAGCTTATACCCGTCCGCTGCTGTGTCAAAAACCCTTTGGTGGGACCCTCCTGTTGGACCTGCTGTTCGCGATGTTCCGATTCACAGAAGCGCCGTTGATCACCGCCGTCGGCAGACAATTCCGTAGCCGGGAGACGCACGGCCGCTGCCGCCCGCCGCCGCTGCCGCGCAAATCAGACGGTCCGGGACGTCCCATCGTAGCAAACATCAGCGAAAAGAGAATGGAATGAAGGCGGAAGAGATTGCCTGCTTTGTCCGGATCATCTCCATCTTTCCATCAGAAGTGATCTCCTCAGCTCTTGGCCGGGAATCACGCGGCGGAGCTCTCAGCCTGTCACATCGCTGTCCGGCGGCGGGGCCCGCCGCGGAAGGCTGGACCGCGACTCACATCGTCGTAAGCCCTCGCTCGTGCTCTCAACCGCATCCTCCTCCTCCCCTCAAAAGCCACGCTGCTCACCGCATCCGTGTCAGAGAGACGGCAGCAGGCGGCGAGCACGCGCATGACGTCCCCCCGCTATCTAAATAAATACGACCCTGCATATACGTCTAATCACGAAAACGCCACTGAGCTATGCATGTCCATATCGTATGGCCATGGCCATGGCCATGCATGAAAGCATGGTGTGAAACCTTATGTACATCTTTTATATATTGATAGTCTACCACAAAAAAAAACATTATCTAATAAAGTTTCTATTTTAATTTATATCAACTAATTTTATTTTCCTGATACTATCTGATCCTTCTCAAATCCATATTGACGAAAATTTTATGCACTGAGTATATTTATTTATTTATTTTATATTTTATTTTACTAATGTCCAACCAATATAGTATGAGTTTTTAGAGATTGCACAAATTATTTTTATAATATAATAAAATATGACATTAGAATTGAGCAAATATGTTGAAGAGACGAACGAATAATGAATTTAATAGGGATTTCTTTTCTTTCATTTTCTGATAAGGATAACTTAATAAAATAATAATAATAATAATAATTTATTTATAGAAAATCAAACATTTCTAAATGCCTACCAATTTGTTGTGGATAAATTTTATATAAGGGTTTATTTACTTTCACTATATTATGTCTAATGTTGCGAGATTCCCTCACCCTCCCATTGACCTACAGTGGAATTGTCCCTTGATGGAGACGTAAGGTCATACAAGTACTATAATTATCATTCTACCCTTATGATGTAGTGTTCCTCAGCCGTCGATGCTCCAACGGACGGTCGTCTGTCTCGATCCAAAGGACACAGTCCTGAGAATATAGCTCGTTCAGAGGGTAAAGTCGTCTAACACGAACAGCGCAAGCTCGAATAACATGATTACTGTTACACCCCTGTGATGGATTATCCTTTAGCCGTCGATGTTCCATCTAACGGTTGTGCACAGGAAGACCGAGGGCAATGTCGGGTTATTATAGCTCGAATACGAGGGAGGGTAAAATGGTCCAACCATGCCGGAGGACTTCGGGATTCGTACGAACGTGAGGGTGTTATCGTAAATGCGGTAGTTCGAAGCATAGCGGAAGGTGGTGAGATTAGAGGAAAGCGAAGGGCTGCTTTGCTGCCCGCCCCTTCCTCGTCGCGAAGGGTTCCCTCTCCCGTTCCCTAAACCCTATATAAGGAGCAGCAGGAGGTGGAGGAGTACTAGCGATCTCGCGACCATGGCGCACGCTTTAGGAGCTGGGGTAATCTCGATCGCTCCTATCCCTCACTCTCGTACAAAAATCTTGATTTTGTTTGGGGTCGTTTTCTTGGAGAGTTTGGTTGTCGATTCATCTCATCTGAAGAGTCTGATGTAGCGATCTCTGGTTTGATTGTTTTGGCAGGCATCCGTGTCGCCATCAGTCGGAACGGATGCGTCGCTGAGGAAAACCGGATTCAAGGTGATATTTTGATGCTTCTCGAGATTAGATGTTGGCAAGTGCTTTGTTGCTATTGTGATAGACTAATTGCAAGCGATTGAACATTAGGTCATTAAGTTGCTGGAAAGTATGGATCTTTTCATGCTATTGAGCTATTCATTTCAGTATAGATCCATGCTCATAAGATCTGACAAAACCAAGATTCGACAAAATTTTATGGTGTTTCTGATACAATCTTCTTTTTTTCCGGGCTTCGGATTGAAATTGGATAATGGCTGGAAAATGACAAGGGAAAAAGATTCAACCTTGCTCTTCTCTGTTCTCTCTTGTTCCAAGTGTTCTCTAATATGCAAGGGACCTGAAGTCAATGTGTTAAAAGACCATTAACCTGACTCTTCAAACCTGAAAGAGATGCCTGGCATAAAATCACTGTAACAGATGATTTGAATAACATGAAGATTTGCTGTAACTTACCTACTGGATTCTTTGATAGAATGATTTCACAACTCATGTTTTATTTGTTAGCTTGGTGCCTTAATCTTTTTGCCTTACACTATCAATGTTTTTTGTCTTCCTTGCAGACTCTTTAAATGTGTTCAGAATTTGGTGAATTGCATCTGCATGACACTAACTAATTCTGAACTATGGCTGATATCACTTCTCCCATGGAAGAAAAATTCTTCTTGATTATTATTACCTTATATTGCATGTAGATTCATTGGTCACATTGATCATTAGAAACTCAATTAAATCTTTCCAGCCTAATCTTCAGAACAATTACACTGTTGGAATTATCTTCCTTTTTCTTTATCTTGCAAACAATGTCAAGATTGATGGCCCTGGTTTTGTTTTGTTCTTTCAGGATCATAATAAACTTCGCTTCGACAATAAATTATGGATTACTTTGTCATCTGTAAACTTGAAGAGCAGGTATTCATCAACAAAATACCAGTTCAAGGTGATGTCTATGTCTGTCCAACAAGCAGTCCGAAGTAAAATTCCAGTTCAACCTTTGGAGCTTGAGAATGCTAATGAGCCCCCGCTAAATCTGTACAAACCCAAAGAACCGTACACAGCAACAATTGTCTCAGTTGAGAGGCTTGTTGGTCCGAAAGCGCCTGGTGAGACATGCCATATTGTGATTGATCATGGTGGCAATGTACCTTACTGGGAAGGGCAAAGTTATGGCATCATTCCTCCTGTAAGTACCTATTTCTTGTTGCCTGCCTCCAAGACATCTCTAAATTCAAGTTTTGATTAATGTTACCTCCTCCTCTTTTGCCTCCCTGTGGAGGTTATGAAATTTTACTTGGTTTTCCTCTCTCAATTAATTGTCTTTTTTTTATATATGTTATACTTCCATTTCCATGTCCATTTTCTCATTATACCCACTCAACTCATACAAGACATGTTTCTCTTTCCTCACCCTTTAGATAGTTATCTATGATCATAACCAACAAAAGAGACTGAATATTTGTGACAAATTTGACACTTTTCTACCAAGACACACATTGACACACAATTGCAACCTTGTTGCTCCTTTCTAAAGGCTGAGCTATTATTAAGTATAGTACTGCCCTCTTTAGACAAATTTATAATTTGCATCATGCATGAATCATGTTTTTAGTGTTTTTGTAATGAGGTGCTTGTGAGTTATTTCTGCTCTCAGAAGCAAATTTTAGTTTATTGATATCTGATTATTGTTTTGTGATATCTTTATTCTTTGATTGTATCGATTTATTATTGCAGGGTGAGAACCCAAAGAAACCTGGATCTCCCCACAATGTGCGTCTCTACTCTATTGCATCAACTAGGTATGGGGATTCGTTTGATGGCAAGACGGCCAGCTTATGTGTCCGACGAGCTATCTATTATGATCCAGAGACTGGAAAGGAGGATCCTTCAAAGAATGGCACTTGCAGCAATTTTCTTTGCAACTCAAAGCCAGGAGACAAGATTCAGCTCACAGGTATTACATGTTTGTTTAAAGTCAAATAATATTCTGTAGATGTTTTCTTTTCTCTGAAGAAAATTCTCTGAATTACTTCAATGTACTCAAGTCAGGAAGTCAGAAATTAAAATTATAAGTGCAAGGTGACTAACTTGGTTATTCTTTTGTGATAATCGAGTTTACTGCTTATTTATCAGGATTTTACATACTATTGCAGGACCTTCTGGGAAAATTATGCTGCTACCAGAGGGTGATCCAAATGCCACCCATATCATGATTGCGACAGGGACAGGGGTCGCTCCATTCCGTGGATACCTTCGCCGTATGTTCATGGAAGCTGTGACCACTTACAAGTTTGGTGGCCTTGCATGGCTCTTCCTAGGGGTTGCAAATACTGACAGCCTTCTCTATGATGCTGAGTTTAGCAGCTACCTAAAAGACTATCCTGATAACTTTAGGTAATTGGACAATGCTCTACATTCTCATCATATTGGTTATTAAAGTTCCTTTATATTGGCTTAACCAGTACCCCATGAAATGTTTAGGTATGATAAGGCTCTCAGCAGGGAACAGAAGAACAAGAATGGTGGGAAGATGTATGTCCAGGACAAGATTGAGGAGTACAGTGATGAAATCTTCAAGCTGTTAGATGGAGGTGCACACATTTACTTTTGCGGTCTGAAAGGGATGATGCCTGGAATTCAAGATACACTAAAGAGGGTGGCGGAACAGAGAGGAGAAAGTTGGGATGCTAAGCTCTCTCAGCTTAAGAAGAATAAGCAATGGCATGTTGAAGTCTACTAAGATGAAATGCATTACATCACATCTTCTGGGCATGTGATTATGTTCTCATTAGGTAGCAGCTGTCAGATTCTTATGGTCCTTTCACAGAGGATCGTTCATTCATCTGTTGAGTTCTGCCAATTCTCGATCAAGATATGGAGCAGCTAAGCTTTGACTTTAGGCTCATCCTACTGGAGAGGGGAGATTGGTCTGGACACATAAATCAACAGTTATTGTGGTCAAATTTGTTGAAATTCCAATAATCAAGAAATTGTTCTGTCAAATGCTTTTCTTCTTTTCGTTCTTCTGCAGGCTGTCTGGATTAGCATTTAGGTTGTGTTTGATGGTTGTCTCAACTCTTACTCAGTCGATATTTTATTCTTTCACAGGTGTAGTATCAACAATTTAATCTGATGATCTAACTAAAGATTGCTTTGAGAACTTTAATCATGGAAATGTTGCAGGTACTTGACCTGTATTAACCTCTAAGGAATTTGTTCCCACCTTGAGCAGATGTACTACCAAATGAATCAGCAACCTCAACACCACATATGGTCAATAGTTTCTGTGTTGAAGATGCATTCTCTAACACATGATTGGCCAGTTCATGAGCAGGGAATTTTCTAAAGTGATATCATTAGCAAAGGTCAGGCCATTCTGTTTGATTTGTGTGAATTTGTATCAGGACTCCTACTCTGCTAAAAGGATGAATAGAAACCTTTAATTCTTATGAATAATTCTGAACAATATATGAGAAATGCAGCAAAGGATAAAGATAAAACCAGATATGATATAAGCAAATTCAATCCAGTCCCTGACTTGAGTAACTACTTTTCTTTGATGAGCAGAGTATTAATAAATTTCATTCAATCGACTCACACTAATTATCGATGTAATTGATTTAATTTCAGAATCTAATCCCAAACTCGATTAGAATTAACATCAGGTATAAGAAGTAGACCTCGATATATATAAAAAGAATGAGACTGGGAGAAGTCAAAAATATTCAGAACATGTAACAGCCTATAATAAATTATCTCCACCTGGTAATGTATATTCAAAGAGTTTCTGTCATACATATCAGTTTAAAAGAAAGAAAAAAAACAAGAGAAAGACTTGGCAAATTGGCATATAAACCGGCACTAAACATATCATTGGCACAGTTTGTGTCAATTTAACAAAATGTTGTCTTTACACTGAAATTTATATCAGTCATACAAAGGCACTGAGAAAAGTTGTTCAATGCAAATCATATAACAGGTGATATGGGGAAGGATCAACTGTAGAAAATGGCTGCAAATTGGCGCTCATCATTCAGTGACTAGATCAAATATAGTCTTGCTAAAAAATTTTGCATCTTGCAACAATATCAAACTAGTGAAAAAAGGGATGAGATAGCAAACAGAAACATCAACAAGAAATGAGGCTATAGAAAGGTACCAAGCTTCTTTACCACAAAGACCAGGATGAGGAGAAATTGCATGCCAGTATGCTGCTATCACTCTACGGTTTGACTTCACTCAAATAATATATTTTCGACCCTGCAGACGAGCGAAAATCTATCAAGCATTGTCCTTGTCTAGAAAAGGAGAAAGGAAAAAAAAAAAGGAAAGAAAAGAGGGAGGAAAGATGGTTAGAAGTAACACTTACCATGTTATGTGCTATAAAATTTTAGAATTGTAGTTCAAAGAAATGGCAGAACTTCTCATGTTTAATGCATCTAGATCTCCAACAAGTTTAAACAAGTCATAAGACCTTTCGGGTTTAAGAATCATTGATGGCCTTTGAAATTCACAAGCATCAGTGAGGATAGAGAACCCATAAGTCATGACCTGTTTCAATGACATGTTCAATTAACACTCAAATTGTTTAGCAACTTCATCGGAAAAAAGCCAATTGCACCTTAAGGAAACCCTAAAATATGCTGACAATGTAAAAAGAACAAGATGCATAGAGACTACTCTATTGATGCGCACTGTCAAATATCTGCTAAACTGTCCAAGTTGATCTGAAACTGTATGGAAGGAAAGACTGAAGAATAGGTTAGGAGAGATATCATTCATATATTCATAGAAAAAATGTCAAATCCAAAATGAGAACTTCAATATGACAACAGAACTTCAATACGCTAGGCATCAAGGTCCTAAAACGCCCAAGGCGCTAGGTGCTCGCCCGAGCAAAGCGCGACGCTCTAAAATATTAAAATATTAAAAATATATAATATTATTAATCTAATAAATAAAGATTATTTTGTATAGTAATTAATAATCTACTGTTAACAGTATATTATTTACTGTTAACAGTAGTTAGAAGGGAAGAGTATAACTATTTAAAGGGATAAAAAAATCACCCAGTGAAACCGACAGTGAAAAGTTAGAACTCAGAAGAGAAGCAACGGATAACAACCGTAGTAGTAGAGTCGCGGATAGTAGTAGTAGTAGCAGCAGCAGAGTCGCGGACAGCAGTAGGTAGTGGACAACAGCAGCAGATAGCGAGCAACGACGGAAGCTGAGGAGACTCGATCGACGATAGAGGAAGACTCGGAGGTAGCGAGAGAAATCGTCGGTGACGGAGGTAGAGAGAGAAATCATCGGCGACGGATGCAGAGGGAGAAATCATCGACGACGAAGGTAGAGGGAGAAACCGTATGCTAGGGTTGAGAGTCGAGGTTGCACATAAGTTTTGAGGTAATTGTGTGCATTAGTTGGTTCAATCGAAGCAACTAATGCACATTTAATTAAACCCGATTACCTTATATCAACCGGGCATTTGCCCGAAGTGCTCAGCGCCTAGGCTCGAGCGAGAGCCTAGGCGGCGCTGCCTGAACCTTATATGAGGTGCTCGGGCCTTGCCTCGCCTCGCCCAAGCGCCTGAGCACCTTTTTAAATCACTGTTCAGGAGCAACCAGTTGTACCAAAAGAAAAAGAGCATTCCACAAGATAGTTAACTCAACAACAGCAACAGGGCCGTAAAATCCCAACTATTTGGGTTGGCTACATGGTTCTTTTGTTGTCATTGAGATAGGCCACAGGATAGTTAACTGCAACACCTAAAGTTTTAAGTAAAGGTCATCAAAGCATTTGCATCAACTGTCACAAATTGTTCCAATTATGATGAATATGAGATCTTGCAGTTCACTGTTCTTTCATTAACTGTGAGTCCATTAGATGGAACAGAAGCCAATATCTCTATCCATTTTCATGTTATAACATTGTCATCTCAATGATCCTGAAATATTGCTATTATTCGTTCTAGAATACTACACCAAATCAGCAAGAGAAGTCTTTGATAGTTGTTTATAATCAGCATATGCCGCTGCAGCAAAAAGAAACATCCATGCAAGAAACAACTAAGTAGCAAAAGAAAGGGAGATAAATCCAATTAGGCTTAGCCACAGCAAGAAACGGAGATTGGAATGATATTTCAATCTGTAGTCGGAGGGGAATTAGAATCAACAGCCTGGCAAGATCGAGAGTTGTTTTACATTAGCAAGCCAGCATAAGGTTCAAGTCACAGATGGCCAAGACGGGTAATCCACATGGTACACTATATATATTGACATTTTCCTGCTGATTTGTTGTAAAACTTAAGCAGCACTTATTTTTTTGATAGTCACACCAATAAGTTTGCATCCGACCAACAACTTCCAGAGCACGCACTTCTAACCTGACAGTTTGACTCCACAGGTATGCTAGTCTTCATGCATGCAGGAGTGACGAAAAATACAATTACTGAGAGCTGGGAGTATATACCATGGTCGCTTGACAGAGGCCAGAATAAAATAAGACTTAGAAAAGGTATGGAAGAGAAATGCTCCATGAGACTTCATGTTGTTTAGCAAATAGCTAAGCAAACGAATGCACCAACCACAGGTCTATACACCATAGTAACATGGAACACCAAACTATAAAAATTCTTGTTTCTCCACTGTAGAGTGCTACCACAAATCCATTGTCGAGACATTCAGTTTTACCTCTAGTGCACCATTTATACTAGAGGAAACTGGACACAAGAAACAATTGATGCATGGCACCAAAATGGTTCAAACAGAACCCAACATTTACAGCACATCACTGAATCTAATTTTCCTCCCGCCTAGTGGCTATCCAACACCTGCACAAGCCATCATCTTTGAAGTCACAATATGAACTGAACCCTCAAACTACAATAAACCATTACACCACTGAATCTAATTTTAATCATAAGACTGACAGAGTCAATGACCACCCACAACCCAACATCACCAAGCCATTCCAAAGAAACTAACCCCACCAATATTAATAATCCTGATTAATAATTCAAGCTTTATATAATGTAAGCTTAATAGAGTTGTAAATGCTTCAAATCTTGGGACAATTCATTGCATTCCGTCCAATAACCTAAAAACCGAAACTGGATAAAACTACAGATTAACTTAGCGACTGCAGTATAGTCATATGACCAAATACTAAAAAAAGTGAAAAGAAACAAAATTAAGAAACGTATTTCATGGATAAAAGAATTTTCCTCAACTACCCTGCTATTGGGGTTAATAAACAGCCCTAGTGACCAATCTGGAAATTGCAAAAGAAATTAGAGTTAGGCAATTATCATGAATTCCAAACATGAGTCAAAATTACAGTAACTTGATCACCAACAAATTTACCATTTTCTGATTAATTGAGGTACAATATCCAAAGGCAGCAACGACAAAATGAACTAAGATAATTTGAGTACTCTTAAGAACAAGCTACATAAGCAACTAAAGTGCCAAACCGCTATTCTAAATAAGCTAGTGAAAACCATTGCCTGTAGGTTTTAAACAAATCTATCACAACCAAGAAAAAGATTAGCAAAAAATATAATAATGAAGATGTAAACAAACAAGGAGAAAGTAAAGGTTTCATAAATAGTGAAACAATGAACAAGTTTTTATTTAAATATATTTGGTATAATGTAAGGCAACATAAAAATGGCAGCTAACCAAACGAGGCAAGGCTTTCAGAAGAACAACTACATCAAATGCATTTAATCATCAAAAGCCATTAAGGAATCCAGAGGTGAGAGTAAATTCAACGATGAGTGGCATTTTGATGCATCTCCAGTAACTGTGTGAGTGACACAGCACTCCATCGCTCAGTTCCCTCCTGTAATTGGGCATAGAGCAGTCTTTTCACTGAGTCTATGCATATGCTCACATTGCCAAAACCATATACCGGAAGACCATTGTAAGATCTACCAACTTTTGGTAAGAAGAGCAAGCCATGTTCCATTGCATAAGCCTCTATAGATTCCTTAAAGCTCATTTCATTCATGCTGCCTGAGCCATTAACATGGACTGATGAATAAGCTGCTGCATGCTGCTGTGCTTCAAACTGCCTCTTTTCTGTAACTCTTAGATAGCTGACATTCTCTCTAGCACCAGGTTGAACCACTTCCATGCCTTCTACCGCCTGGTTCATCATATCCAAACCCGCACTTAAAAGCATTCGAATCCTCTCGTTGGCAAGCAATTCTGCTGGGAAAAGCCCCTTCCAACCCATATACCACTGCATAACTTCATTGAAATTAGGATTTGAGCACAGCCACTGGTATAACACTTGCTGCCACTTGCTGAAAAAATCAACCTCCAACATGTGGACCATATGGTGAATTGGAATTACGGATGCCCATGTCATCACCCAATTAAACTGATCCAAATTCTGATTAGCTGGGTTCACTTGAAAATCCTGCAAGGCAATCTTTAACTTTGGGACAATATAACGGACCATCAGATGCTCCCAACTAGCTGCATCAAAGACATCCTTCCATGGAGAAAGTATAGCATAAGCTGATGCATCACTTGCATGCCAAGCATGAAGGACACTACCTAACTTGTAGCGAATCGTATGGTATAAGGTTTCCAATCTCTGTCCTAGCAAGGGAAGCCATGGGTGAACCCACACATGGATTGGAACAGTCTCACGGCGTGGATCCCAAGAATCAACAGCGGCTGTTAGTTTCGGCATAACCACATTCTCCAAAATTGACTGCAGAACCACTGGGGGTAGCAACCTTTCCCATGCTTCCAAAAATCTAAGCATCGATTCTGGTTCCTTAGCCTGCCAAGTATTAGTCCCTGATATCCTGACTGCAGGGAGAATAACTTCACTGACAAGCTGGGCATAAGGAGAAGCAGTCATAAGACTTTCTGAATAATCATAAGGTTGATCCCCTTGCAACAAATCCCTCCAGGAAGACAAAAGACTCATGCCATGCAAGGGATTCTGCAATGGATCCCATCCTTGAAACACCCGAAGCAATAAGGGGTATGCAAATGCACTGGCAATACAGGAGATATTGCAGAGCTTGTAGTCCTCCCTGAACCTCTCTTTTAGGTCTCTGAAAGTAGTAAGCAGTGAATCAAGTGTCAATGACCCAGACAAGTTATCCTCTTTAATCCTTTCTAATACTCCGGCTATCATCTCCATCACTTGTAGCTGCTGTCTCTGCCTCACCTCTTCCTTCAAAATCTTCTCTTTCTCCTTTTGCAAGCTCACCACCTTCTCCCTCTCCCTCCTCAGTGCCTGGTCCAGCTTCTGTATGTCAGCCTCGGTAGAGTCCACAATTAGCCTCACATTGTACTGAAGCTCAGGCATGGGCAAGTCGTTCTGTTTCATCTCATCCTCCATGTTCAAATTCTCCAGGCTCGTCAAAACTTTAACTTGTGGTCCCCTCATATCGAGAACCTTCTGAACAACCTCAATACCCTCTTCCTGCTTTTTAGCAAGCAGCTCATCAGCCGTCAAAATCTTGGCTTTCAACTTCCCTTGTCTCTGCTTTAGCCACCTCTTCTCCTTTGAACGTCCTGAAGCTACTGCAACAGTCGCCTTCTCCCTTGGTGCTTCGTCCACAGCTGGCAATTTAGCCTCTTTGTAGTCATTGAACCCCATGCCCATGTTCTTTGGGCGAAGCTTGGCCTCAACAGGGGCAACGATCCCTTGCTCACTCTTCCCCAATCCAGATCCTTCTTTGTAACCCATCATCTTCATGAGCTTCAAACCTATGCCCTTCGTGTGCACCTCAAACTTCCCAACGTCATCTGCACTCGATCCGCTTCTTCTCCCCAGCGGCTTTGCCAACTTAGATTTCTCCTTCTCCCACTTCTTCTCCTTCTCCCGGCGCTGTGCCCCTTCTTTGATCTTCCTCCCAAAGGCCGTCGGGAGGAAGTTATCCTCGTCATCCTCATCACCCTCGGCATCCTTCTTGTCGGCCTGAAACCCCAGGCCGCATCCCAACCCCTGCACAGGATTGGAGGCCTCGGCGGCGCGTTCGCTTTCTTCCTTGATATTCCGATCGATCTCCTGGTCCGGCATGACGGTGCCGGTGGAGACGAAGTGGACCGGCTTGGATAGGTCAGGCTTGGAGATGAGGTCGCCTTTCCGGCGCTTCCAGGAGTGGCGGCCACCTCCGTCGGAGTCGGAATCGCTGGAGCCAGCGGCGAAAGTGCCGTAGATGGCGTCCTCCCTGGTCTGTACGGGGCGCTCCTTCTTGCGGCGGTAATAGAACTCTCCGCCGATCCACTCCCCGCCCTCGTAGTCGTTCTCCATCCCGAACCGCTCCAACCCCTCATACTCGTCGTCCATGGTGGGTGAGCTTCGTCCTCGACGATGCTCTCAGAGGCAGAGAACCCTAATCCTTGGATCGAAGCGGGAAGAAGGGGTAAATAACAGTAACGGGTAGGATTCACCCGCTACTTTTATCCTCGAACTCGGATCCGAACCCGATTAATTTTAAAGCTATATTTAATTTTCGAATCCAAATCTAGTTTTGATTAGTGGATATCCGAATCCGATAAATCGGCTTAACTTATAATCAAGTCTCACTGCTGTCAGATTAGTAATATATTACATGAGAGAGATGAGCAAAGAAGACACACTCATAGCCTTTAGTCTCACTGCAGTGTTAATCAAGTCCATCACAGTGATGTCAAACCTGCAAAGCATTTGAACGTTGGACAACGGTCACAGAGGCATAATGACATATGACTTGGCTACTTCCTCAGTCAATCACTGCACGGAGTGTGACCTGAGATCCCCGTACGCAGTACTTAAATCTCGCTCATGTGCCTTTGGCCGATCAACACCTTCCAATTCCATCGTTGCATCCAAGTATCTCTCTTCTTCTTCTTCTTCCTCCTCTCTCTGCAATCAGCAGCAGCGGAAGCTTGTGAATTGGGGCAGTGATGGGCTTCGTCATTGTCATCTCCCTCCCTCTCATCCTCTTCGCCATCCTGCTCGCATTCGGCTGCTACTTCCTGGGAAGGAAGAAGGGGCGGCAGGATGTCCGCGCCGGCGTCGGATCGCAGGTCTACGGCGTCCCCTTGCCGCCTCCGGGAGCCGCAGCCTCCTATCCTCCGACCCAAGTGAAGAAGCAGGCAGGCCCAGACGATGTCTAAGAACAGCGTCTCGACAGTGTATGCTCAAGAAGATTTCAAGAGTGAAAAGATAGTAATGGCTACAATTTTTCTCTTCCTTTTCCACTACATTTTGTGATTCAATGTATTCAATTAAATAAATGTTCACAATTAGCATTTGCTTGGAATCTAAGCATTCAAAATTGCATGACATGGCACATCAATCAAATTAACGCTCTAGCTTCAATAGGATTGGCAACTTTCCTGGGACCCGAGTCCAACTCGGACCCGTGCCAGTTAGGTCCACAAACGGTAAGTTGCTTCGCGTCTGAACGGCAGAACGCGGAATCCTCACCGTTGATTTGTCGGTTTAGTCTTCTTTCTCACCATTTGATCGATTGTTGCCGCACGAGGAGCGGTCGGATTTCTTTGTCCCCGCGGGGATCGTAACCGTGGGAGTGTACGTGGTCGTGCAAAGTTGTTTGATTTCACCCGATCCCGTACCTTAAGCGTTATACAAGGCGGGACCCATGAAAGAGATACTGATTGACCAAGCCGGGCCCACAGGTTCGGCCCCGGGCGATTAAGATGTGGAGACTGCACTAGGGTTAGGTTCCGTCAACCGGCGCACGGTTGCGGTTGATCAACCCGGCGAGCGAAAGAAGGTAGCGAGATGAGCCGTCGGATCGCTGAATCGACGGTGGATTTTGATTGACTTGGACCGTGGGACACGAATAGGTTCCCGGTGGGTTAAACATTCCGAGGGTCGCGCCAACGTGCGCCAGACCGGGTCGCGCTTGCCCCACGGCCTCTTTTTATTCCCCCTCTTCGATGTCTTCCCCTTCGAGCGTGCAGCCACCACAGAGCGAGAGCAAGGGAGAGAGAGAGTCTTCAACGGTTCCCTTCCGCCTCCGAGCACCGACCTCCGCCGCCGACGATGGCCAACCTCAGTAATGCCGATTCCCGCCGTGGCCTGACCGTGGAGGCCCCGCCAAACCAAAACCCCAAAGGTTGTGCCTCTGCCTCCGCCGATCACGCGGAAACCCTAGCTCCGTTACCGGGTCTCTTGGTTTGGGTGCCCGTGCTCCGTGTCTCCTCGTCTGAAATCCGTCGCGACTTGAGCGCTCTTGTTCTTTGGCGTTGAGACGATTCTCCTCCTTTTTCTAGGGTTTCGGTGTTTGTTGCTGTTGGTCTTTCCGTTGGATGTTTCGTTCTACCGCTAATTTTTCTGGAAAACACCATACTTGTTGACCCGCTGATTTTTTGTTTCTTCGTCACAATCGTGCGAATCTTGATCTGGTTTGCGGTAACAATTTTAATCCTTCTACTCTATAAGAATGGAGCAAAGTTTGGACTGTTGATCATGTTCTCCGTTAATTTGTGTCGTTGCTTCACACCATTGAAGAGAGTCTGGAAGACAAGAATTATTGTGACAGGATGGCGCCTCTGATTCAATTTGTACAAATGTAGAATCTATTCTTTTGGCACTTGGGGGAACAAGAAAAAAGGAAAAAAAAATCGAGTGTCCCTATGACTATAGGTAGGTAACCAAGCAAGGTGGAAAGGCATCTTGCTGCTTTTCTGATATCTGAGTGGTCACAAAAGTAGTACATGGCCGAGAAGAATCATTGATCTTTCACCATGTATTGGAGTATCCTTCATCCTTATGGAGCTTTGCATATTTTATATTTTTAAATTATCCTGCATTTGACATTGTTAACATATGATTGTTGTTTCTCTGTCCCTTATGGCCAGTTGTACTTGGTTTGCATGGAGTTTACAGGATCAAGACATATGCCATAGTGTCTGTCTGTTTAAGTGGTTTAGGATTATAGAGAAAAAGGATTAAGAAAAAAAAAGTGCTGTTGGAACTTGGAAGATTGGTCTACTGATTCAGACCTGTCAATGATTCATCTGAGTTCAAGTTTTATCAAGTATGACTATCAAATAACCCTTCAAGAAAGGTGCAACCAGTGTTTGACATCTATTCATCTATGTCTTATTGAGTTTGACAGTAAAATAACCATTCAAGAAAGGTGCAACCAGTGTTTGACATCTGGGTAATAGTCTGTCTAGATTTTTTTTTTCTGCTGTGTATCACATAGAGGAAGGAAGATGTCAAATTATGAAATTTAGGAAATAGCAAACTGCGACAGATTTATTTCTTTGTAAATGTGTCATCTCATTATGTAGCGTTTGCAAATTGGAATAAGTTGTCATTTGCAAGCAGCATGATACACCGTTATAAGCAATGAAGAAATATTGGCCCTTGCACAAATGGACACATCACTGTGAGATAGTTAGATCCATGTTTTCGACTTGAATCACTTGGGAATTAACCTGTGTCATTTTTATTTTTGGCTTGTTGCTGTCAATGTCATTCTGCAATATTTGTCTGAACACAATGAAAGTTTAATTGGGTACTGTTTATCCATGAGCAGAACAGCAGAGTCTTATGCTTCTTCATGCTTTTTCTCTAGTCTTATTGATCCTGTTAAGCCATAAAAGGATTTTTTTTATTATTTGATTTTGAGAGCCTTACCTCTTGCAATTTTTTTACTAGGTGAAATAATATTGCACAATTTTTTTTTCTACTGAAGTTGTGACTTTTGCAGACATTCAAGGCTCTGACAATCCTATACCTCTTTCTCCTCAGTGGCTTATATCAAAAGCTGTTGATAGTAAGGTTAGGATTCTGTGTGTGGTGAAGTAAGACTCATATGGTTCACAGTTGTTACTTCTTTCTTTGTCTCTCATTCTTGTGGAGGCATTCGGCAGCAATTTTTATATAGCAATAATTTCTGATGCTAGTATAGCATTTAACTTTGAAGTTTTATGTGCATACAGGAATTAGGCCCTCATCAAGACAATAGGCTAGATGGTGTGAAGACATCAGGAGCCGGTGACGACCTAACTAACACTGGGAAGAAAAAGTATGTCTTCCGACCAATCTTGCATGACTCAGATTCTGGACGCCGAGATAACTGGCATGATGAAGAAAGGGAAACTAATTCTGCCATTCGACGAGACCGTTGGAGGGAGGGAGACAAGGAGCCTGGTGAAGCTCGCAGGATGGAGCGCTGGTCTGAAAATACCTCTAAGAATTTTGGTGATGCACGCCGTGCTCCATCTGAAAGGTGGAATGATTCAGGTAACAAGGAAAGCGACCAGCGTCGTGAGAGCAAATGGAACACACGCTGGGGTCCAGGTGATAAGGAGTCTGATAGCTGGCGTGAGAAGTGGTCAGACTCCAGCAAAGGTGGTAATGGAACTTCTGAAAAAGGAGCACCTGTACCCTATCTTATCAGTCATGGAAAAGACATAAACAATCATGGAAAAGAGACAGAAGGAGATGACCATTCTTCTCGTTCTTGGAGGTCCAACTATCTTTTGGGTCGTGGAAGGGGGGATTCCTCTCACCAATTACAGATGCCTGTCAAACAGCCTAACACGTTTGGCTATAGTAGGGTAAGAACAGAAAATGGTATATCATCTTTGCCTACTAGCCGTGGAAGGTTTAACCCTATAATGAGTAGTACAAACAGTGATGCTCCACGCTTACAGCATCTTGGTCTTTCCTATGACAAACCTGATGGTGCATCTGGAGATCTTTCAACTTTAAGATATACTAGGATGAAATTGCTTGATATATACAGGACAACTGATGTACAAAGTCTTAGATTGTCAATAGGTGACTTTATTGAAGTTCCTTCCCTAACACAAGTTGAACCCTTGGAGCCGTTAGCTTTTTTTGCTCCTACTCCTGATGAATCGGTAATCAACTAGATTATTTTTCTTGGTAATGCTTGCTCTCTATTTGTGCATCTCCTAATGTTTTTGGTGTCCAAGTAGGTTATCATTAAGGGAATCGACAAAGGGGAAATTGTGAGCAGCGGTGCTCCTCAGCTTTCCAAGGAGAGCTCAGTTGGGAAAATTAACCCAGACACTGTCTTATCTAGACAAAGTAAATTAGGTGCTGTTCAGATTCTGGCTAACTTTCATTCCATACCAGATATTTGATTGTTCCTTATAGTCAGTAATCTTTTTGTTTTGTATAAAATTTTGGGGACAGGTAGTAGACATGATCTACTGACTTCTGGTGATGGTTGTAAAGATGATAACGTTGACAATACTAAAAGTGAGAATTGTGGCCCTTTGGAGAGCCCATCATACGAAAAACGGTACTATCAGCTTGGACAATTTTCAAAGGTGGACGCAAATTTGAATAGCTCTTTATTTCAGCCAAATGAAGTAAATGAAAAAGGTACATTGATTTTAGCCAAGAATTTAAGATTTGGGATAC